GACCAGAATTGGATGCAGTATTCCAAAAGTGGCCTAATCAATGTCCTGCACAGCTGCAACATGACCTCCCAACTCCTATACTCAATGTACTGACCAATAACGGTTACCAAATGCCTTCTTCACTATCCTATCTACCTGCAACTCCACTTTCAAGGAACTATGAACCTGCTTCTCCAAGGTCTATTTATTCAGCAACACACCCCAAGACCTTACCATTAAGTGTATAATTCCTGCCCTGATTTGTCTTTCCAAAATGCAGCACCTCACATTTATCTAAATTAAACATATGCCACTCCTCAGCCCATTGACCCATCTGATCAAGGTTCCGTTGTAATCTGAAGTTCAGTAGTTCATCAAACCCATGACGTATGCATTGAGATGATAATTAGACTTTGGGGAGTCAAGAAGTGAGTTACTTGTTCTAGGATTCCTAGTCTCTGACCTGTTCTTGCAGTCACGGTGTTTGTAAGGTGAGTCCAGCTCAGTTTCTGGCCAATGGCAACCCCGAGGACATGGATTTATATTTCACTATTGTCAATGTATTTCACTTAAGGTAAATAGAATCAGTCTCTTAAGACTGTAGGCTTTTATTCCTACATTCTCAGGTCAGTTGCGTTTACCCTGGAGTTTCTCCAGCAATTTCAGATTTCCAGCATCTGCAGTTCCTTGTTTTATCAATTTCCTTGCTTTGCCCACCTATGTTCACACTTGCATTTGTATTGAAAACCAGGCACAAAACAGCTTGGAAGTGAAAGAAAAATACAGAAAAAGTATAGTGGTGTACAGCAAGAAGCTACTCATAGTGTACAATTTTAATTGTCAAAACTTTTTCTTCATGACTTAAAGTTGTAATCAAATTAAACAGGTCCCTGCAAGCTCTGCTGCTGATTACAAAGAAGAATATTGTTTTAGTGTAAAGTGATACAAGGATTAGGTACAATTAGTACCCAGGCATCTGGCACGTTTACTGATGAATTCAAGGTAAGTCTGGAGCCATGGAACCAATATCCAAACAACAAACACAACTGCATATGAGTGCTTTAATGACATTTAACCTCCATTGCACTTGTTACCAATCATATCTGAATGTGCAAATTGAGTAAACAATTATACTTCTAATTTTTGCAGAGTGAGTTGGTATGATATAGGAATATAAGAAGATAAGATTTAGTAGCTCCTTTAAGTCTAAACTGCGGTTCAGTAAGATCACAGCTGATCTGGTCTCAACTCCTGTTTCTTCTCCCCATATAATAATTGACTCCCTTGTTTATCAGTAATCTAACTTCACCTTCAATAAATCCAATGCCGTACTTCCACTGCTTTCTGGGGAAGACAATTCCACAGACTAATGACTCTTTGCGAGAAAAAAGGTTCTCATCGCTATTTTAAATGAGTGACAGTATTAGACCCTCAACTGTCAATAAATCATTTTCTTATTTTCATATGTCTGAGCACCTTAAAAATCATCAAAGAAATTATTGAAACAAAAACAGAAATTACAGGAGAAACACAAGTCTGGCAGCATCTGTGGAGAGAAACAGAATTAACACTTTGAGCCGTGTGCCCTAGTCTCCTCCACAAAACAAAACCTTGTCCTGTTATCCTCCCACTCTAGTCCCTTTAAGATCTTATAATTCTAATTTTCCCTCCTCTTCTGGAGGTTTGGTGAAATAACTCATGTCAGAAGGATCTATTTCATTTCGAATTTTTTTGAAACATAATGTTCTGTTGGGTCAGCCTTCTGATTCTTGGACTCTGATTTTCAGAGTCCTGCTCTAAAACAAATGCAGAATAATCACTACATTCATGTCGACGGTGAGAATCTGGGCCAGATTACAGGGGTCATCCACGGTGCCAATCAGTGAGAAGAGGCTATAGAGATACCATATGCAGTATTTCATTTGCTTCAACCAGTCTGTCAGTGTTCACCTTGCACATAGGCAAATAACTTGCAATGCATTCAGCAAACCTGTTCTTATATCCCTTCCGTTCCTTTTGCTGATCTCTCTAACCAATGCAACCTTGATTATTGATACAGATTCTGCATTACCGATTTTTCCTCACTGTGTAGTATCACAACTCTGTGTGAAGAACATTGTCAAGCTTTTCATTTCAAAACATTTACATTTGATTTTGTACCCATGAGCCTTTCTTCTTGGCCCCTTAACTATAGGGAATGGGTACTTAGAACCACAGAAATGATACAACACAGAAAGGAGCCATTCAGCCCATCTTGTCTATGCTGACCCTGAATGGTTCTATCCAAATGGTTCCATTCTTCTATAACAGCAATAAATTATTATGTTACCACTAACCTGCAACCTTCCAAGACAAATTTCACAATGATAAGCACAATTCTTCTTAGTTTTCTTTCCTCATACCATTCACCATCCTAATGAATGTTTACCCAGATTGAGTGGATTATGCCCCAGAGGTATCAGCCTTATAAGAGCACTTTAACCAGTCAAACTTCTGGGCCTTAAATGGAAGCAAAATACTACAAATACTGGGAATCTAAACAAAAAATATGAAATGCTGTACAAGCTCAGCAGGTCTGGCAACATCTGTAGAGAGAGAAACAAAGCAAATGTTTCGAGTTCAGTATGACTCTCCAGCAGAACTGAAAGGGAGTGTCTTTTACTGTGGGCACAATCACCACCTGTTCCATTTGCTCTTTCTCCCCTGCTGTCAACAGCATAAAAAACAGCATTTTCCAGCCCCTTTCAGTTCTGAAGAAGTCATATCAGGCTTGAACTGTTAACTTTAGCTTCTCTGTCTTGGGGAGGCAATGGACAAGTGGTATTATTGCTGGACTGTTAATCCAGAGACCCAGGATCCTGGGTTTGAATCCCACCACAGCAGATGGTGGAATTTGAATTCAATAAATATCTGGAATTAAGAGTCTAATGATGACCCTGAATCCATTTTGAATTGTTGGAAAAATCCATCTGGAAACTACCATCCTTACCTGGTTGGTCCGACATGTGACTTCAGACCCACAATAATGTGGTTGACTTATAACTGCCCTTTGGGCAATTAGGGATGGGCAATAAATGCTGCCTAGGCAACCAATAAATAAAAAGAGATGCTGCCAGACCCGCTGAGTTTCTCCAGCATTCTCTGTTTATATTCTAGGCCTTCAGATCTGTAGGCAGTGAATGGTGGGGTGCAGCTTTGGGATATCATCTGAGGTTCAAACTGATAAAATCTGGTCTTAGAACATAGAACACAGAACAGTACAGCATAATACAGGCCCTTCGGCCCACGATGTTGTGCCAACCTATTATCCTACTAAGATCAATCTACCCTGCCTACCCTACATTTTACTATCCTCCATGTGCCTATCCAAGAGTCACTTAAAAGTCTCTAAAGTATCTGACTCCACAACCACTGCCAGCAGTGCATTCCACACGCCTACCACTCTCTATGTAAAGAACCTACCTCTGACATCTCTCCTATACCTTCCTCCAATCACCTTAAAATTATGCCCCTTCCTAATAGTCATTTCTGCCTTGGGAAAAAGTCTCTGACTATCCACTCCATCTGTGCCTCTCATCATCTTGTACACCTCTATCAAGCCACCTCTCATCCTTCTTCACTCCAATGAAAAAAGCCCTATCTCCCTCAACCTTTCTTCATAAGACCTGCCCTCCAGTCCAGGCAGCATCCTGGTAAATCTCCTCTGCATCCTCTCTAAAGCTTCCACATCTCTCCTATAATAAGGTGACCAGAACTGAACACAGTATTACAAGTGTGGTCTAACCAGAGTTTTATAGAGCTGCAGCATAACCTCACGGCTATTAAACTCAATTCCCTTGCCAATGAAAGCCAACACACCATATGCCTTCTTTACAACCCTATCAAGTTAGGTCGCAACTTTGAGGGATCTATGGATGTGGACCCCAAGATCCCTCTGTTCCTCCACACTGCCGAGAATCCTGCCATTAACCCTGTATTCTGCACGCAAATTTGACCTTCCAAAATGAATCACTTCACACTTTTCTGGGTTGAATTCCATCTGCCACTTCTTTGCCCAGCTCTGCATCCTGTCAATGTCCCGTTGCAACCTACAACAGCCCTCCACGCTGTCCACAACTCCACCAACCTTCGTATCATCGGCAAACTTACTAACCCACCCTTCCACTTCCTCATCCAAGTCACTTATAAAGATCACAAAGAGCAGAGGTCCCAGAACAGATCCCTGTGGCACACCACTGGTCACCGAGCCCCAGGCCTTCTTTCCAATTACTTGGGGGTACTCAGATCCAGTAGCTCTCACAGATCAAATATCTGCCTCATGGCTGCATCCTCTGTTCTGTTGGCAGCTCATATTGCCTCTCTTACCTGAGACTCAACAATCATGAGATACCAGCCGCTATTATCCCATGAAACGCAAAATGTGTGCAGCCAATCAGCACCTGTGACCATGGTCTATCACTGGCAGGAGGATGGATTTAAGAACAGCTTCAATTTCTCCCAAGTTCCCTTCCAATTCCTTGTGTTTCTATTTGTGAAACTGCTTCTTCCATCAACAGATTTTGGAGACAATTTCAGCATAAATATAATGCCTGTACCACCAATGTAGACACTGATAGCCTAGTTGCATCTGAGGTTCTTAAACTACCTGCTGAGATATTTTGTTTGCAAAACAACAAACACAAGATAGACTTTTGGTTGACAGACAACCCGGTCTATATCCAGATAGGCACAAACTGTAAGTTACAATGCTGCCTGTGTTCAAGTGCAGTTGTTGATAGTTCATTTGCAGCATTTGTGTTTGTATGGCACTGCCTGAAACCTACGTCCTTCTGCTTTCTGCATGCTAAAGCAATTTAATGAAAAGGATTTGGGCTTACTGTGTTGCCTATGGCAACGTCTGCTTGTTGATTCCGAGACACAGAGTCACCAACTCGTGAAAAGTTGCTACAGACCGGTTACATTTCTCCGCCTTTTGAAAGTAATATTCTCAATTCCGTTTATTTTTCCTGCTTTTACTAAGGATGGCAGCTCTAGGCGGAGTGCCCCGGCCTCCCAGCCACGCTACTCCCCGGCTGCAGTATGTCCAGCATCCGCTGTCCCGCCTCGGGGACCCGGAGACCATCAGTGTCCGGGGCTTCTCTCGGACCGGTGACAAGACATCGGCCGATCCGTTCCCGGGACCGGACAGACCGGCGCCCACTGACCGCAACGGGGGTAAAGAGCCAGTGGATTCGCCTCATTGCGGCCGCAGCAAGGAGCTGCAGCCGGCCCGAGTTCCGCGGGAGTCGCTGGGCCATATTCCCGAGGGAGTGGAGGTGACATTCGGGACTGACCCTGAAAAACCCCGGCTCCCCATCTTCGGTGAGTCGATGGATGGGACGTTAACGTATAGTCCTGCTTGTTAACTGCTTGAGAGAAACCTATAGCCACAGGGAGAAAGAGACTGGCGCAGAGACAGAGAGATACTGCACACAGAGAGACGGAGAGATGATACACACGAGGAGACTGGGGATAGGGCACACAGAGACAGAGATGGTGCACACAGAGAGACAGAGAGATGGTGCATACAGAGAGACGGGGGGGTGATAGTGCACACAGAGAGAGACGGGGGCGGGGGGTGATAGTGCACACAGAGAGACAAGAGGATAGTGCACACAGAGAGATGGTGCGCACAGAGAGACAGAGAGATGACACACACATAGAGACTGGGGATAGTGCACAGAGAGACAGAGAGATGGTGCACACAGACAGAGAAATAGTGCACACAGAGAGACAGAGACTTGGTGCACACAGAGAGATGATACACACGCAGAGACTGGGGATAGTACACACAGAGAGATAGAGATGGTGCACACAGAGAGACAGGGGGATAGTGCACACAGAGAGACAGAATCGGAGAGATACTACACACAGAGACAGAGATGTTGCACACAGAAAGACGAAGAGATACTGCACGCAGAGAGTCAGAGACGGAGACATACTGCACACAGTGAGACAGGGGGGTAGTGCACACAGAGAGACAGGGGAATAGTGCACACAGACACAGAGAGATGATACACACAGAGAAACTGGGGGGATAGTCCACAAAGAGAGACAGATACTGCACACAGAGAGACAGAAAGATACTGCACACAGAGACATGAAGGATACTTCACACAGACAGACAAAGACACAGTACACAGAGAGGCAGAGACAGAGACACAGACATAGAGAGGCAGAGACGAAGAGATACTGTACACAGAGAGACAGGGGGATACTGCACACAGAGAGACAAACATATTGCACGCAGAGACACAGCGATGCTACAAACAGAGACAGAAATGGAGAGATACTGCACACAGAGAGACAGAGAGATAATGCACGTGGAGAGACAGTGAGAAACTGTGCACAGAGAGATAATGCACATAGAGTGAAACAAGCAGAGATACTGCACACACAGTGACACAGACAGAGAGATACTGCACACAGGGGGACAGAGACAGAGAGTTACTGCACACAGAGAGACAGAGAGATAATGCACAGTGAGAGATGGGGGATACTGCACACAGAGTGACAGAGACAGAGATATTGCACATAGAGTGACAGAGAGATACTGCATGCAGAGACATAGAGACAATGAGATAATGCACACAGATAGACATACAAATATTGCATGCAGAGAGATAGAGACAGAGAGATAATGCACACAGAGAGATGGGGGACACTGCACACAGAGAGACAGAGAGATACTGCACACAGGGAAACAGAGAGATGTTGCACACACAGGCAGATATACTGACAGAGAGAGACAGGGGATACTGCACACACAAGCAGGAATAGTGACACAAAGAGATGGGGAATCCAGCACATATATCACTCTCATTGCTTGCCACCCCAGGCTGCCTGCTCCTGCGCTTGCCACCAGTCACCTCTTGCTACCAGCTCCCACTCTCTCCACTGCCTTCTTTCACTGACGCCACCGAATGGAAGAAACAATGAAGCTGAAAGAAAGAAGAACGAAAAGGAGAAAGTAGGGTCTGGGCGGTCTAGTGCTGAGCAGCGGACGGGCTCAGGGTCCTGAATGCTGCCTGCCCTGCAGTCATCTTGAATAGCAGTGCTCTTACACAAAGATATACTGATAGGAAGGCTATTGAAACAATGAGATAATTTCTAACAGGGAGCAATATACCGCAAAGGGATGAAATAGCCTTTTTCAGTCCTAAACCAGCTCCAACCCACAGTGCTTTCTCCACTACTTCGATGAAATCATCGGTGCTGCTTCCTCTCTCGTCCAGAATTGTAAAGGTTTATCTATTTCGTTTCCAATTTCCAACCCTCTCTCACCTTCACCTGGTCCTTTTCGGACTCCTCCATTCCCTTTCTCCACATATCTGTTTCCATTTCTAGGGATATGCTGTCCACTAATATCCACTACAAACTCACCAATCCCCACAGTTACCTAGACTGTACATCCTCACACCCCGCTTCTTGCGAAGACTGTATTCCATTCTCCCAGTTCCTCCGTCTCCATCGCTTCTGTACTGAAGATGCCAGCTTCGACAAGGTGTTCTTCAAAATGTCCACCTTCTTCCTCAACTGAGGATTTCCCAGCACCGTTGTTGACAGGGCCCTCAGCCAGGTCTGACCCACCTCCCGCACTTCAGTCCTTACCCCCGCTCTTCCCTCCCACAACAGTGATAAGGTTCCCCTTGTTATTACCTAATATCCTACTAGCATCCACATCGAAAGGATCATTAACTGCCATTTCCACCACCTCCAGTGGGATGCCACCACCAGACACATAATCCCCTCCCCTCCCTTGTCAGTCTTCCATAGGAATATACCCTCCAGGACAGCCTGGTCCAGTCCTTCTCCACACCTAACACCTCCCCACAGCCCCACGGCACCTTCCCCTGCAACCGCAGAAGGTGTAACACATGTCACTTTACTTTCTCCCTCCTCAGTATCGAAGGGCTCAAATACACCTTCCAGTTGAAGTGTCACTTACCTGCACTTCACACAATCTAGTCTACTGCATTCGCTGCACACAACATGGTCTCCTCAACCTTGGGGAAACGAAGTGTAAACTGGGTGACTGCTTCATAGAACACCTATGTTCTGCCCACAAAAATGACCCTGCACTTCCAGTTGCCTGCCATTTCAACACACCACCCTGTTCCCTGGCTAACATCTCTGTCTCAGGCTTGCTGCAGTACTCCAGCGAAGCTTAGCGCAAGCTGGAAGAACATCGACTCATTTTCCGCTTCAGGACTCTGCATCCTTCTGGACTCAGTATCAAGTTCAACAGTTTGAGGACTTGGGCACCTTCTCCCTGTGTCTTTACTCCAACCCCACACACCAGGCCTTGTCATCACTTGGGCTGCTACCACTCACCCATTGTCAGCTACTAATAGTCCCTAATAGCAGCTATTCATTCTCCCAGACTGACCTCTACCCATTCCTTTGTCTGTCCAACTGTTTTTCTCTCTCTCTTTGGGTTCCATCTCCACCTATCATCTATTTCTCCCCCCACCCATCTTCTGCATAAATACCAACCTTTTTGTAGTTACCATCAGTTCTGAAGAAGAATCACTAGATCTGAAACATTAACTCTGCTTTCTCTCCAGCAATACTGCCAGACCTGCTGAGTTTTTTCAGCAGTTTCTGTTTTTATTTCTAATTTCCAGCACCTGCAGTTCTTTTGGGTCTTTTTTGTAGTCCCAGTTCTGGCCACTGCAGCTACTAGCGCTACTGGGATTTCCAAACTTCCAGATAATCACAAACTACATTTGTGTACATCTGTGTGCGGCACGGAATCCCATCTTCAGCCACTTCATGCAACTTGTTATGATCTATGGGAATGTGTTTAGGCTGAGTCTTCTGGTCGCAGTGCAGAATACTCCACCAATTAAAAATTCATGCCCGGGAAGATGTTATTGACAGAGAGACATGTTACTGGCAGAAATATTACTGATGAAAAAAAAATTACTGACAGAAATATTACTGATGGAGGGAGAGGTTACTGACAGAGGAGAAGTTACTGATGGGAGCATCTGTACTGATACAGAGGAAGGTAGACTGACTCAGAGCAAGCTACACACATAGTGGATGTTAGGACAGAGATGAGGAGGAATTTCTTCTCTCAGAGGGTAGTGCATTCTGTGGAATTATTTAGCGCAGAAAGTTGTGAAGGCTAGGTCATTAAGTATATTGAAGGCTGATATACATAGATTTTTTAAAGAGTTTTATGGAGAAAAGGCAGAAAAGTGGAATTGAGGGTTATCAGATCAGCCATGATGGAAAAAAGAAATAGAAATTAAGATAAACAAGAAGCAGCGTGCTTATGATAGTAGAAAATACAATTGAACTCCAAGAGGAATACTGAAGGTTCAGAGGGAAGGTTAAAAGCATATTAAAGGGATTATTAGAAAAGACTGTTAGTCAATAGAAAGAGAGTCCCAAAGTCTTCTAAAGGTGGATTGATTAGGAAGAGACAGTATGGATTTTAAAGGGGTAATCGTGTCTAACTAATTTCCTGGAGTTTATTGAGACATTTGATGAGAGAAATGATGTTCATTTAGCATGCATAGACTTTCAATAGTCATCCAGTACAATGACACACAACAGACTCAAGAAGAAATGTATAACTCATGGATTAAAAGAGACAGTAGCAATGTTAATACAAGATTGGTTAGTAATAAGAAACAGAGTAGTGGTGAATAAATATTTTGTCAAGATGAAGGAATGATTGTAGTGGAGTTCCCAAGGGGTTGGTATTAGGATCCTTGCTTTTCCTTATGAGCTCAATCTTGCCTAAAGATATAAAACTTGGTAGCACAGTAAACTGTGTGGAGAATAGCATCGAACTCCAAAAGGACATTGACAAGTTGGTGGTGATGATGCAAAATCATCTTAAATAACATATTTGGACTGTTTTAAACTCAGAGAATTGTTATACATAATTCTTTAGACATGAATTCTGCATTGGAAATTTTTTAAATTCTTTTTTATTAAGACCATAAGACAAAGGATCAGAAATTTGGCCATTCAGCCCAACAGGTCTGCTCCACTGTTCAATCATGGCTGATAAGTTTCTCAACCTCATCCTCCTGCTTTCTCCCTGTAATCCATGATTCCCTTGACAACCAAGAACCTATCTATCTCCATCTTAAATATACTCAATGACCTAGCCTCCACAGCCTTCTGTGGCAGTGAATTCCATAGATTCACCACTCTCTGGCTGAAGAAGTTTCTCCATATCGCCATTCTAAAAGGTCTTCCCTTTACACTAAGGCTGTGCCCTTGGGTCCTAGTCTCTCCTACCAATGGAAACATCTTCCCAACATCAACTCATTCATACACCCATGGAATGTGGGCATCGGTGGCTGGGCTAGCATTTATTGCCCGTCCCTGTTGCCTTTGAGAAGTGGTAGTGAACTACCTTCTTAAACCACTGCAGTCCATATATTGTAGATAGGCCCACAATGCCCTTAGGGAGGGAATTCCAGATTTTGACCCAGCAACCATGAATGAGCAGTAATATATTTCCAAGTCAGGATAGTGAATGGCTTGGAGGGGAACTTGCAGGTGGTGGTGTTCTCATATTTCTGCTGTCCTTGGCCTTCTAGATGGAAGTGGTTGTGAGTTTGGAAGGTGCTGGCTGAGGATCTTCAATGAATTTCTGCAGTGCATCTTGTAGGTAGCACATACTACTCAGCATCAGTGGTGGAGGAAGTCGATGTTTGTGGTTGTGGTGTCAATCAAGTGAACTGCTTCATCCTGGATGGTGTCAAGCTTCTTGAGTGTTGTGGGAACTGCACCCATCCAGGCAACTGGGGTAGTATTCCATCACACTCCTAGCTTATGCTTTGTAGGTAGTGAACAGATTTTGGGGAGTCACGAGGTGAGTTACTCATTGCAGTATTTCTAGCTTCTGACCTGTTCTTGTAGCCATTGTATTTATATAATGAGTCCAGTTGAGTTTCTGGTCAATGGTAGCCCCCAGGATTTTGATAATGGGGGATTCAGTGAGGATAACACATTGAATGTCAGGGGATGGTTGTTAGATTGTCTGTTATTGGTGGTTGTCATTGCCTGGCATTGTGTGGTGGGAATGTTACTTGCCACTTGTCAGCTCAAGCCTTGATATTGTCCAGATCTTGTTGAACATGGACTGCTTCAGTATAAGGAGTTGCAGATAGTGCCAACCATTATGCAATAATCGGCAAACAGCACAGCATTGTGGAAGACAGATCTATTAAAGACTGCTTTATTCAAAGGTCTTATTATTTAATCTAACTTTATAAGGAACATATTCTAAAAGCGCATGTTGACTACTTGAGAATTAATTCTGTTTTCATTGGTTTTTCAATATCTAACTGTATTATTATGAGTACATGTTATTTAACTTATACATTCATCTGACTTAATTTTGGCCTGTACACGTTGGTATAATGAAGTGGCAATTTCTAACGATTGAAGTTGGGATTCCCATGCGATCTCTAATGGTCAAAACTACAGTTAGCTGCTAATTATTAACATGAGGAACATTCTCTCCATTGTGTAGTAGCAGAAGATAAGTTTATGCACAGTAACCAACTTTTTATTACAAGTACTCAATAGATAATTGGAAAGAAAGCTTGAACTGCAATAAATGGTTGTGGAAAAATAGCAGCAATCTCAATGTAATGGAAAACTAAAAAAAATTAGAGTTTCAAAGCAGAATAGAATTGACAAACTATCTAACCTTCACCCAAAAATCGAAAGACTTGTTGTCAATCCCTGTTGTTATTGTACACATAATGTACACATTATTTTCTTGTTAGATTTTGAATTTTTTGCTGGTATATTATAAATATTAATTGTATTAGTATATCCTGAGCTTAGTGAAGAGGTAGTCAGAATTGATTTCAGAAGAAAAAATGTAGTATGACTAACCTTATTGAATTTTTTGAAGATGTAACAGAAAGTGAACAATGGTAGCTGTAATTTATTTGAATTTTCAAGAAGGTCTTCAGTCAGATGTACCATCATGAACTAAAAAAGGTAGAATGTGGACTCAGAGGACAAGTGACTATATTGTTAGTTGACTTGAAGCAAGGAAGCAGATCATGGGAGTAAAGGGTAGTTATTCAAGGTGACAGAAGGTGGGGAGTGTATTCCACAGGACCAGTGCTGTTCATATTTGACATTAGTAACTTGAACTTTGGAATCAAGAGTACAAGTTCTGAATTTGCAGATGACACCATATTGGAGAGAAAGTTAATAATGAGGAGGACTGCAACAAATGACATAAAGAAAGTTGCAGAATGGACAAATAATTTTCAAATGAAGTTCAACACAGATAATTATGCAGTAGTACAGTTTGGCAGGAAGAATAGAGAGGCCACTTATTACTTGGAAAGCATGAGTCTAGGAGGGGTAGAGGAACAAAGGAATCTTAGAATATAAATACACTGTAAATAACATTACAGATTAGAAAGGCTATTAAAATACAATTTTAAATTAAATTAAAATTTGGAATGTGCTGCCATGGGGAATAGTTGAACTCAATGGTCTAAATGCATTAAATGGGAAGCTAGACCTGCATTTGAGGCAGAGGGCAATGGAGGCTAACAATGATAAATGAGGAAATATGGAGTGGAGTATAGGAACCCAGCATTGAACAGTTAGGACAAGTGGCCTGTTTCTGTGTAGTAGGTCACATGTAAACCTCTGTAAAGCAAATATCTGGAAGAATAGCGAAACCATTCTCAGTACTTTCATTGCCTCACCCTTTGTTGTTTTCCTGTCAGACAGTTTGCAACAGGTTGCTTTTTCTGCAGCTTCTGTAGATTTTCGTTGGAAATTTATGTACATGCATTGCTCAGCTTCAATCAATGCATTCTCTCCCTGTCCAATTCAGTTTTACTGCAACTCGTAAAAGAAAATGGATGTGTGATGTTGAACGTATGGAATAAGAGATGGAACAAAATGTTAGTTTGCAGCTGTTAACAACCCTCTATGCCACTATTCATTCTGAGTCAGGGGTTTTGATATTTTATGAGGACAGCTGAATAACTCTGCTGCTAAATGCCTTTAAGGCTGTAAGATATAACTGGACTTCTTGAATTGCTCTTGAATCAATCCCTTTTTTTACATGTAGTCACCAAGTTCAAATCAGTTTTGTTGTTATTTGATCTTCACAAATTGGAATGTACTTGTCAGGCTGCGGCTAAGGAACACCCAACATTTTGTATCTCTAACAGAATAGAGTGCATGACGTATGCTTGTACTAGAAGTAATATTTTCATAGATATTGATGGATTGTTAGATAATACAGTCTGTTTCAAGAGTTGGACAAAGCTAAAGGATGTATAGAGTCTTTCTCTATCTTAAAATATGGTGCTCAGTGATTGTGTTATAGTGATACATATAATATAAACAGGCCTATAAATTTGCTTACACCTTACTATTACAGGTCAGCGAGCAGATCTGGAAAATCGTATTGAGAGCAGAATGAGCCAAAGCAGCAAGATAAGCAATAGATCTCGACCTGGGACCCAGCTCAGAATTGAGATTGATGAGGTATTGGTCAGAATATGGCAGACTTTTCTAATGTCATTTTAGCTTCCTATTCCTTCATACTTGTAGTGATTTGAACCATGGCCAGGTAGATCTCATTGACTATGAAGTCTTTGGGGTTGTTAACTTGGGCCAGTTGGTGAGCCCTGGCTGACAGATATAAACAGGAGATTTAGAAGGTCTTTTCAGTCTGGGTACTGACTCCGAGCTGGTTGGTCACAGCCCATGTAAATAAAGGGTAACTTGGTGATGGGATACTGGCTTATGTGCAGTTTTTCAATACCCTTTCCTAATTCAAGGTCACTTGCACTATTCACCAAGTACAGAAGCTATTCAAAGTATACCTCAATTCTTGTTCTGTTTTTCAGCTGGAGCATGAACTGCGAGAGAAAATAATATCCAGTGGCTACTTTGCAGTAAAACAACTCTTTAAAGCTAATGATCCTGAAGGAAGAGGACAGCTTAACAGGTAAATCTAAGGAAATATTTACTGGCATTCATTCTGGGTATGGAGAGATATTCTTACAAGTTGAGGTTGAGTGGGTTGGGCCTGTAGTCATTGGAGTCTAGAAGAATGAGAGGAAACCTTATTGAAACATATCAGATTCTTTGGGGGCTAGACAGGACAAGTACTGAGAGGTCGCTTCCTCTTGTGGCAGAGTTTAGAACATTATCTCAGAATAAGTGGTCATCTATTTAAGACAAAGGTGAGGAGGAATGTCTTCCCTCAGAGTGTATTCAATCTGAGGAATTCTTTCCCACAGAAGTTGAGTTGTTAAGTTTATTCAAAGCTGAGATAGACAGATTTTCAATTGGTAGAGGAATCGAGGATTATGGGGAAGAAGTGGAAAGTGGAGTTGAGGGTTTTCAGATCAGCCTTGATGGGCTGAATGGCCTACTTCTGCTCCTACATCTTATTGTTTTATGGTCTAAATTAATTATAACATTGAAAACAAGCTGTGAAGGCAAATATGCCATCAATATGGAGTTGTAAAGAGATTGATTAATAGATTATTCATTCTCCTAGGGATGTTCTCCTTATGGTTCTGACAAAATTCTTGGGACGATTTATCACACCAAAACAATACCAGCAACTTCTTTTGAGGTGAGTAATTTGAAGAGGGTTTTATTGCAGAGCAATGTGATATTTGATATTCAGTTTTAAGCAAAATATTATTTTCAGTCAATCAGTTTTTTTTCCAGTGTTGGGCTGTGTCTGGGTGCCCATCTTCAAGAGCAGGAGTTCATTTTGAAAGAAATATAGGGCTTGTACACCTTGAGGGTGGGGCAGAGGTGTAATCTGTTTTCCCATAATCATTCATTTGACTTAAGAATATAATTGGACCCAGCCAGGGAGTGAATTACTATAGGCTATTAATCCAATTGCCTAACTTTGTTGGAGAGGCAGGAGAAACCTAGAAAATATAAATGGTGCTATCCAGGAATACCCCACAGAAGTTCAACCCACAGATCAATAATCTTAACATTAATCTTAATTGCAGATATCAAATACCAGTATCATATACTTATACAATATGGACATCACAGTGTAGATATGTACAGTGATACATAGGTACTAATCTGGTACAATGTGGATATCTTATTTTAAAGGTGTTCTATATCAGTACTTTGCAAGTTTCAATATTGTATAGTGTGGAAGTTATACAGCATAACTACAATATCCAAATACATAGTAAACCAGTAGAATACAGAGATTGTATATTGTTAAATCAAGTCTGGAGGGTTGAATAAATTCCTTTCTTCGTTCCTGAGGTTGGTCATAACAAAGTTTCAATTTTTTTTTTAAAAATGCACTTTTCAATTCAATATGTGCTTGACCATGTGTAAAGCTATGAAAAAACAAATCAACCAGATCTCACTTCTAAAAAAAATCATTCAGTTGAAAGTATAAACATTATTAAACCATACAAATTGCAAGGTGGAAGGAAGTGGAATTGAAAAACGTTAATGTCCATTAGTAGAATGAAAGATATAATCTGTAGTTTCTTTGGGAAATCTTGAAATTCTGGTGTGGTTGTGGCCAGTGTAAGCTGATTATTCTCTGGCAGCAGCCTCTGCTAAATTACGGTCAGTGCTTTTCCAAGGTGGGTGCTATGACACTTGAAATTCCTCACGTTTTTGACTTCTCCATCTGTGATTTAACAAACTGTAACAGTCAGAGCCCAAGTCTGGAATAACTCTTTGGAGAGAAATGCTGCAGTATTACTTCAACCTGCAGGTCTTCTTGGTTGTTACTCCCTTCTGTAATCACCAGCCAAACTTGTAATCTTAGCTTTTCACAATAGGGAATTTAATTCATGTAATTGCTCACCCGTGGTACCAATAGGGATGGAGGAGTTTAGGTGTTCCACTGTCAAAGCTATCAAGGTGCTGTTGAAACAGACAGGAAGGTCCTCGGCACCTTTTGTTTTGTCTAATGGGTTGCGATAAGTTTCCTTTTTAAGATGTTTGTTACTTGTTGCCTGTTTCAAATTATCTTAATGCAAGTTAGTTCCTTAACAAAGTTATTTATGCGTTCATTTTTTAATTCCCTTTGGTGGTTAGCCAGCCTGCAGCCATTTTAAAAGGGCAGGTGCTAGCTCACTTCAAAGTGAAATGAGAGTCCTAAATATTGAATCAGTTGATATAACTAAATATTAATCGTCAATATATTGAAATATTCATGACAATATCAGTACAATATTGATATAGATGTGCTGGTATGTATAGGCTCCATGTGGCCTCTTTTTGAATTTTAATTTTGTTTTTAATCTCGATTCATCCATCGCCACCTAAAATTCAAAATAGTCTCTTTTTATTAATGGCATGTATCTATTTTGAAATTAAGCAATCTTTAAACATCTCATTGTTGCACTACAGACCTGTGTGCTAATTTATATCTCATCTCAGCTAGCTCATTCTTCACCTTTCTATAATCTACCCGAGTTCAATTTGATGTGTTGCTTTCTGTGCCATCTATATCCTCTCCACCTGGGACTTGAACCTTATTGTATCCTTTAACTGAGATGTTCACCCCATTTAACCTATTCATGGTATCTACTCCGAATCGCTAAACAGCAAAGTATGTCCATTGTGGTAGGACCAGTTCTTTGAAAGATTTCTTCAATCAGTCCTACTCCCCTACTGTTTTCCAGCCAGAGCCTACTTTTCGAGTTTATAGCCAATTCCCTTTCGAAAGATTTTACTTTTTCCAGCCTTTTGGGCAGTGCATAACCAGATAATAATTCACAAGAAAAAAAATGATATTCCTCTTGCTGTGCTCCCTGATCAAGATCAGAGTTTATGATGGAGCTGTGTATATAGAGTTATTTAAGCTATAGCGGGAGTACTGTGTGCAGCTCTAGTCATCACATTATAGGGAGGATGTAATTGCACTATAGATGTTGCCTGGGCTGGATTGATTCAGCTATGAAGAGAGACTAGATTGGTTGGGGATATTTTCCTCAGAACAGAGAAGGCTGAGAGGGAATCTGAATGAGGTATACAAAGCTCTGAGGGCATTGGCATGTTAAATAGGGGAAAAATATTTTCCCTTAGTAGTGGGGTTAATAACTAGGGGGCACAGTTTTAGGATAGGGTGCGGGCAGTTTAGAAAGGATTTGAGGAAAAGCTTTTTCACACAGAACATTCTGAGTATCTGGAACTCACTGCCTGAAAGGCTAGTAGAGACAGGAACCGTCAGACATTTAAGACCTTCTTAGATGAGCTCTTGAAACATCATAGCATACAAAGGCTATGGGCTGGAAAGTGGAATGAGAATAAATGGATTGTTGATGACCAGTGCAGACAGGATGAGCTGAAGTGCTTCTTTCAGTGCTGTCAACATTTTATGACTCTATATGAAACCAGCAATATTGTAAAAGCAACAGCTGCAATGTAGCGAAAAGTTGAGATGAAACATCATACCAGAGATGCAAATAAATGCTAATGCTACATATTTTTAACAATTGTTGTATTCAGGTTCAAGCTAAATGAAAAGCCAGTCATTAAATGCGAAGACTTTTATGCAGCTGCTAGAGACCCTATCTCGATGAGAACAGCTTCTTGGCTCGATCCTGTGAGCCGAGACAGTGACAAGGTTCTGGCAACTGCCTCCCAAGTACACTTGCAGCTGAAAGATAAAGTAAAGCAGAGGTAGGAATCATGTCAGAGGCCATTCATCTGCCTAAATGAAAGCAAAATATTGTGGATGCTGGAGAAACTGAGCAAACCCGGCAGCATCTGTGAATGGATACAATCTCAACTGTCAACAGAACTGAGGAAGAGTTGTTTTAGATTCAAACTGTTAACTCTCTTTCTCTCTCCAAGATGCTGCCAGACCTGCTGAATTTCTCCATCACTTTCTGAATCTATTTCTATCCATGTGCTTGACAGATTCGTGAGCAGCCCTCAGAAAATAAGGCAGCAAGTATTTAAAATCAGCTTTTTATTTATAAATTGCAATGAGGGAAAGTATAGCCAATTTCTCTACAGACCTGTGTACTAAATTATATCTCATCTCAGCTAGCTCATTCTTCACCTTTCTAAAATCTACTCGAGTTCAATTTGATGGAATTGGAGGGAATTTCTCGAGCGATCTTGCAAACTTTGTGGCATATCCCAGAAATTACTTTTGAAACACAGTCACTGCTTTGCTGCAGGAAATGCTGGAGCAAATGTGTTCATAGCAAACTTGCGCAAAGAGCAATGAATTGATGACCACATCATGTATTTTAGGAATGTTCGTTGAGGGTTGAATATTGGCAGAACACTGGGAAAAATCCTTTACAAATTAAACAAAAATACTAATGTGTTATTTGCATATTAATTATTAAAATTAAATGGTTATCTCAGGTGTATAGTCATTGTTATAACATGACTGTTTTCAGCTTCTATTTCTGAACAAAGAATATGTTTTAATTGACTACAAAGTGTATTTAACTACAAATCCATATTAACTGACATACAAATATATATCTGTTTTCAGTTATTCATAATACATATAATCATTTAGTTTTGGTTTCATCCTTGTAAATCTATTTCACACCATTTCCCATGCCTCCTTTACACAAAATGGAAAACATAACCCTGCAGAGTATGTGCGTGAATACTCCAAAGCTGAGATGGCATTACAAAGAATGAAGAAAACCTGGTTTTTGTTGTCCTGAATCTTGCAATTTGAAAAGCGGTATCAGAAAGATTTATTTTCCGACAACACAGAGAATGCGGGATAAACTCAGCAGGTCTGGCAGAATCCGTGGAGCGTTAAACAGAGTTAATATTTTGAATCTTGTATGACTCTTCTTCAGAACCACAGCTGCTACTAGATCTGTTGAGTTTCTCCAGCATACTTTGAGTTTGTTTCCAGCATTTGCAGTATTGTGCCTTTTATTTAAGCTTTGTTTTCCAGATGGATTAAATGCAATGTAGGTATTATATGAAGTTCTTTTCTGTTAGAGGAGTATTTTCCCCTGATTCGCCTGTCTAATGTTAGGCTTTTGGACCTGACTGAAATTCTGCCTCAGAAGAATATTGAAGGGCCTGTTAGGATCCTGGTTCCTGAGTTCAGGGAAATGGTGAAGCAACTGGGGTATCACATGGAAGATGAAGAGTTTGAAAAATTGTGGAGAAAGTAAGTGTGGATCACTCATCTGATCCTTTTAACTTGTTTAACGTTCAATATAGAAGATCAAATATATATATTCAATATAGAATATATATGCATGTAAATAAATGCTTAATTGGGCACCATATTAATTTGTATTCCACTAGCACAGTGAAAATATTAAACCACAGATCAGTTCTGTGGTTCTGTTTAAATAATAAGCAAAGACATTTTGTGTAAATCACATGCTTATTTGTTCACGAGTATTGGTAACATTTAATTTCAAATATCTTTAATGAATATTTTGAAGACTGTTTGTCGTCAAAACTGTCTATTGCAAACAAGTTTTAAAGAAATTTTCAGTGATTTTTGATTACTTTAGGCTGACTTTCTGTTTTTCTTCTGACTAGTGAAGGCTTTGAAGAGCAGCTATGTCTAATCTTACAAAAGTGTGCCCCCAGTATGGAGCCTCACTTATTGGGATCACCTACCAAATGTTCAGGTCTTTTGACTCCATCAGTTGATAGAAAATGATGTGTAACAAACATTAATATTTCTAACATGTGCTCCATGAAATGAGACAATGTCAAAAGCAGGGTTTCATAATTTTGACTCAAATCCATTCAGAATGTGAGCAAGATGAATGAGAAGTTCATTGGAGTTTTGGGAATAATGAATTTAATTCTGAAAATCCATAGATAAGTTGCATTCTGGCAGAGATGCTGTGACCTCTGGCACTGACCCTATCAGAGTTCCTAGGGTCACAGGAAGATGCTTTAGTTTGTACGGTAGTGACAAACTCTGGCAACAGCTGGGTTGCATTTGCGGAACCCTTACCCGAAGGAGAGAAGAAAGCCAGAACTGGGGTGAAGGAGTGCTTGATCCTTCATCTCACAATTGGAAATATTCTCAGACTGCTCCGAGTGGTCCCCATTTAAAGTGAGAAACTGGCTCCTAACTATTGTTTAAATCTGCACTGCCAGCCTGGGCTCCTACATAGCACCCTTTCCATTGCTGAGAGAATTGCTATTCTGAATTTCAACGTCAACTCTATACCGTATCACCTAAGTGTCTAAAAAGCGACACCACCAACCTTGGGAGATTCCCAAACCTTTCCCATGCTCCCTTCTTGTACAGGGTCTTGTGTGCAGTGAGTGGGCATCCTGTAAACTCCAGTCAATGTTGAGATTCTGTGTATCTGGGTCATTTTCAAACTTGCAGTCCTGTTATTGTATTCCAAAAAAATATGTACTTATAGCACACTGAAAGGGTTTTGAGTCTTGACTCTCCTCTCTCTCACATTAATATTCAGTAACTCCTAGAATCATAGAACCCCTATAGTGAGGAAAGAGGCCATTCAGCCTATTGAGTCTGCACCAACCCTCCAAAGAAACATCACACCCAAACCCCAGGCCCTGTAACCCAGCATTTACAAAGTTTAGTTTGAGTTGAACCCTTTAGATAAGCTAATGTTCAATCCTTGGAATGAATATTTTTAAAAGTGAGCTTAGATTTACACTTTCTTAAATATTGATTGTTTCTATGACTAAAGGAAACAAAATTCAATTAATTAGCAGCGTAAACATTAACCACAATTTGTAGTTTTTGCTTAGAAACCTTACTCTTTCTAACACAAAGGATACAAATGCATCTTGTCTGTATTTAAAGAATCTGGTAATCCAGAAAGCAAGTATTAAAGTCTTAACCCTAAATGAGGTCTTCCCCCTTGAGTACAATGTTGGCAAAGCACAAGCTCATAGCAAAAAGCATTTAGATTCATAGAGGTATACAGCATGGAAACAGGCCCTTCAGCCCAACTTGTCAATGCTGAATAGGTTTCCTGAACTGGATTAGCTCAATTTCCCTGCATTCAGCATATCCCTCTTCACCTTTTCTGTCCATGTACCTGTTCAAATTTCTTTTAAATGTTGTAATTGAACATGACTCTACCATTTCCTCTGGCAGCTTGTTTTATATATGCAGCACCCTCTGTGTGAAAAGTTGCCCCTCAGATCCCTTTTAAATTTTTCCCCTCTCACCTTAAACCTATGCCCTCTAGTTTTGCACTCCCCTACCCTTGGAAAATGACCTTGGCTATTCACCCTATCTATGTCCCTCATGATTTTATAAACCTTTATAAGATCACCCCTCAACTTCCCATGCTCCATTGAAAAAAGGTCCCACCCTCTTCAGCCTCCTTTATAATTCAAACCTTCCAAGGTCAGTAGCATCCTTGTGAAACTTTTTTACACCTTTTCCTGTTTAATAATATCCTTCTGATAGCACGATGGCCTGAATTGTATGCTGTACTCCAAATGTGCCATTCCCAAAGTCTTAACAACTTTAACATGTCCCACTGTCTCTTCTCAGCGCTCTGTCCAATGAAGGCAAGCGTACCAAATGCCTTCTTCACCACCCTGTCTACCTGTAATGCCACTTTCAAGGAACTATGTACCTGCTTGTACTACTATTAATAGGCCCCTACTATTAACTGTGTAAGTCCTGCCCCGGTTTGTGTTATGCAACACCTCACATTTATCTGAACTAAACTCCACCTGCCATTCCTCGGCCCACTGCCCCAGTTGTCTTGTATGTTTTGTCTTCATGCCTATAACTACTCTGATCTGGTTCATGATTGATTTAAACTTCAATAAACAGGAAGGTATGAGTGTAAGAGAGGCAGGTAAGGGGATCCAAAAGTTATATATTTCAAGTATCCAATAGACTCAGTTTTCTTTTTATTTATTGTTTTGTGGCATGTAGGCATTGCTGGCTGGCCAGCATTTACAGCCCATTCCTGGTTACCCTATATACTGCAATATTCATTGCCTCTGACCTGCTGTTGTAGCCACTGTTTATATCGAGTCCACTTGAGTTTCTGGTCAATGGTAACTCCAAGGATGTTGATAGTGAGGGATTCAGTGATGGTAACACCATTGAATGTCAAGGGTCAGTGGCTAAGTTATTAGAGATGTTCTTCTAGTCTGCCCGGACGAGTACAGGGACTGCAAAATGAATGAGTGTACTGACTATCAAATTGGACTGTGGGTAGTTGAGTTGCAATGCTGCCACTAATCCTTCTTTCTATGTTGGGCCTTTCTCAGTATCAGTGGTATAGGATGGACCATAGGTCAGTATTATCAAGAAAAGGCACTTGCTTTACACAGTGAGAAATAGTTTGTTGCATGATAGCGATAGGTACAAGTTACATCAACTGGTTGGACATAATTACTTAAGACTATCAAGAGGCAGGAATGTATCTTCTGACCCCACTGGGATCTCTTACAAGACTGTCTGATTTTAATCCTAAAGGCTGTGGGATATCAAGAGAATGGGTGAGGCCCAAAGCAACTTCAATACGGTTATACCACTACCTCGTATAATATCTACCCAAAGTGTTTTTTTTCCCATAACATTGTTATCATTTATGCATTAATGGATATAACTACATTTACATTTACCAGTACCCATCACACCCAAAACTCTTGACTTCACAAATGGACTGATCTGAAGATAGCACAATCCTTCCAAAGTGCAGCCCTTTCTAATTTGGAGGATTTGTATGCCTTTGGCTTGAGAAGCGTTGAGTTTGATTCTAATCTTTTCTGTAAATCATTTATCCACTGGAGGATCGTTTATCGGTTGCATGTCCTTCATGGAGAGTATTGGTCTTGATAAACCCGGCAGCTCATTCATTACCTTAGTTAGAAGACACTTCATCTCCTGGATTTCCTTTATAGAAGGCCCTTTCCCTGCTAGCTCATGAAGTCATCCCATAATCTCATGGGGGACCTTTAATCTTGTGAATGTCCATCAGGGAATTTAGCTACTCTGTTGAAGCAAGTATTTACTTTCTTGTATTATTCTGAATTCACAGACCAGGTAATCATCTCATTTTGACCATATCCTGATTCTGTGATCATTAGTCTGGCTTCCATGGAGTCTCATCTACTGCTGATGTCTAAGTTGTTCAAGCAAGTCTTTATTCTCAATCTGCTGACACATCTGAGTGAAAGGATGTAAGCTCTTTATTTCAACTTGTTGATTGGGTTGGATGCCTTCATTCACCCTCTGTGGATGTCTTTAGGTGATCAAAATATTTTTACATCCTCAGATAAACATTACCTCGATTTTTTTTCCCAGCAGGCCAGGCCTCTGAGGTCCGTACATGGCAGCGACATCTGTAACCGGATGTCAATGCTGCGATCGGCATGCTGATGCCAATTGCCATTTGCACAACCTTGGAGCGCTGTGCCTGTGTGCAGCTTAGAGGGAACATTGCCTCAGACATGAGATTGCAAGAACTGCAGATGCTGGCATCAGAGATAACAAAGTGTGGAGCTGGAGGAACACAGCAGGCCAGGCAGCATCAGAAGATCAGGAAAGCTGACGTTTCAGGTCGGGACCCTTCTTCAGAAATGGGCAGGGGGAAGGGAGCTCAGAAATAAATAGAGAGACTGTGTTATCATTGCCTCAGACATGTTATTCACCCAGTATCATCATTCACACTGACAATTCTGTGTGAGAGAAAGCAGCTTGGTGATGGTAGTAATGGAACGCATTTATTCCAGTCACGATAAACCTGTGACTTCCTTTCTGAGGACATGATGAAATAGTTCTCTTACTTTAACGCATCACCCTGCTCCCTGGCCAACATCTCCGTCTCTGGCTGCTGCAGTGTTCCAGCGAAGCCCAACGCAAGCTGAAGGAACAACAACTCATCTTCTGCTTGGGGACCCTAAAGCCCTCTGGACTCAATATTGAGTTCAATAATTTTAGGGCTTAAACTCTCCCATGTCCCAGCCCCCTCCCCCACACACCAAGGCTTGTTATCACATCACCTGCCATTACACACCCCCTGTTGTTAGTCACTAACAGTCCCTATTAACAACTATTCACCCTCCCAGCCTGATCGTTAGCAACTCCTTTGTCTGTCCAACTGTCTTTCTCTCTCTTTGGGCTCTATCCTATCGTTTACTCCCTACCCCACCCACCTCCCTGTTTTCTGCATATGAACTGACATTTTCCCAGCCACCATCAGTTCTGAGTAAGGGTCACTGGACCCGAAACGTTCACTCTGTTTTTTCCTTCACAGATGCTGCCAGACCTGCTGAGCCCTTCCAGCAATTTTGTTTTTGTTTCTTGTCTTTGTTCTATTTACTGTGCCTCATGGAGCCTAATCATGATGAAGGTGACACTTAGTTTGAAAGCTAAATACTCCCTTTCCCTTCTGTCTTTCCCATGTCCTATTCACTCATGGTAAAGTTTGCCCTCAGGGATCTCCAACTTTACTCCCAGATCTCCTAACCACCCCACAGAGCCTTCTTCTCTAAGGACTCTGTCCATGCCTGTGTAATTAGTCTCCACTCTCTTTCTAGCCCACAATCCTTTATATACCTCTTGCCAGCGCTGAGGCGAAGGTTTACTTTTGGAGTGCGGCTTTCTCCCTGCTCTTGCTCCCACAACTAGTAAATAGACCAAATTAAAAGTTCTTTATTTGAACACACACATTATTCATAACAAGAGGGATCAATTGTTTGGACTAGTTTTGTTAATAAGGATGAAGTTGGTACAGTAGGGAGAATGACCTTAATTTGGAGGATCAAGATGTGGAATCATTGAGATAAGAAATAGCAAAGGAAAATCACTGGTGGGAATAGTTTATAGCCCCCCTGACAGTAATTACAGTTTAGGACAAAATATTCATCATGAAACTTTGGAATAATTGTGGGTGAATTTGGTCTCAGAAGTGTAGAGACATGCAGCATAGAAATAGGTCCTTTGCTCCACCATGTCTATGCCAACCAACAAACGTCAAACTATACTAATCCCCTTTACCTGCACTTGGTCCATAGCCTACCACACCCTGAACATTTTAAGTGCTCATCCAGACGCTTCTTAAAAGTTGCAAAAGTGTCTGCCTCCATCATACTCTCAGGCAGCATATTCCATATTGCTACCACCCTCTGAGTAAAAATATTTTTCCCAGACCTCCTGTAAATCACTTACTGCACACCTTAAACTTATGCCCTGTGCTCTGAGACACGTCTGCCGTAGGAAAAAATTCTCACAATCTACTCTGTCTATAACTCTCATAATTTTGTATACCTCAGTCAGATCCCATCCCCTTAGCCTCCTCTGCTTTAAGGAAAACAAATTCAGTCTATCCAGTCTCTCCTCATAACTGATTTTTCATCCCAGGCAACATCCTGGTGAATCTCCTCTATACCTATTCAGTGCAATGACCTTCTGATAGTGTGGAGACCAGAAATGCACACAGTATTAGGGCAGCACGTTGGCTCGGTGGTTAGCACTGCTGCCTCACAGTGCCAGGGACCCGGGTTCAATTCCACTCTCAGGTGACTGTCTGTGTGGAGTTTGCATATTCTCCCTGTGTCTATGTGGGTTTCCTCTGGGTGCTCCAATTTCCTCCCACACTCCAAAAATGTGTAGGCTAGGTGGAATGGCCATGCTAAATTGCCTGTGGTGTTCAGGGATGTGTAGATTAGGGGGATGGGTCTTAGTGAGTCTAGGGGGGATGCTTTGAGGGTCAGTGTGGACTTGTTGGGCTGAAGGGCCTGTTTCCACACGGTAGGGATTCTGTGATATTCCCTCCATGTCCTAACAACTTCATCTTAAACTTTGATTGAATGAAGCTAGTTAATAAAGGTAGCCTAATAAAATGTGTTTGGGACAATTATTTAGAGCAATATGTTCTGGAACTAATCAGGGAGTAAGTTATTTTAGATTGGGTAAAGTATAATCAGGAAGGGTTAATTAATAATTTCATAATAAATGATCTTCTTGATCATAGCATGATAGAATATCACATTCAATCTGAATGTGAGAAATGCAGGTCTGAATCTAGAGTCTTAAACTTAAACAATAAGGGCATGAAGACAGTGTTTGTTAAAGTGCAATCAGAACAATTTAAAACATTAAATGGTAGAGAAAGATGGGGGACGTTTAAGGAGCTATTCCGTAACTGTCAACAAAAGTATGTTCCTTTCGAGAATTATGGATTCTACAACAAGAATGTACCATCTGTGGCCAACTTAGGACTTTAAGGATAATATTAAATTGAAAGAGGAAGTGTACAATGTTGTAAAGACTAGTTGACAACACTTTAGAAACCAGAAAAAGATGATTAAAAGGATAATGAAGACAGAAAAAGTGAGGAGAGAAAACTAGCAGAAGTATAAAATCTGACAGTAATACTTTCTGCAAACATATAAAATGAAAGGAATAGCTAAGGCGAGGATCGAAGACGAGATTGAAGATTTAATAATGAGTAATGAGAAAGTGCCAGAGACTTTGAACAAGTAGTTTGCACCTGACTTCACAGTAGAGAAGACTAGAAGCATCCCGAGATTAGCAGAAAATCAAGAGGCAATAAGGGCAGGAGGAAATTTAAACAATCATGATTTGTAATGAAAATGTACTAGGAAATGTAATGGGACTAAAGACTGGCAAGTCTCCTGGTTCTGATGGCCTGCACCACTCAGATCCTTATGACAGGATCTTACATTCAAGTTGGAGATGAGGAACAATTTTTTCTTTCGAAGAGTCATTCATCTTTGGAATTTTCTTCCACTAAGCGCAGTGGAGAATATATTCAAGCCCAATTTCAATGGGAAATTCAAGGGAATGGCAGGAAAGCGAAGTTAAAGTCATAATCAGATCAGCCATAATCTTATTGGATAGAGGAACAGGAGCAATGGACCAAATGGCTTACTGGTGTTCCTATCTCTTAAAATTCTATGAATTAAATCTATGATCTGATTCCAGATTGTTCTGTCATTCCTTTACCATGTCATTTCCATTCCAACAGATATGATCCCGATGGCATTGGTGTTATTAAAGGAGATGTACTAATGAGAAAGCTTGGAACTGAATTCAGGAATGGAACAGCGCATAACCTTGAAGGCTTTGCTGGAAAAGTATCTGATGAAATGAGTTTAGACGGCTCAGCAAGTAAGTGCCAGACCAATGAGGGTTTGGGACAGAGAATCTAGTAAAATAGCACATTGCGGCTTTAAGGCAGTTATGAGGTATGTTAATTTGATCTGCCTAGTTGGAAACTGATAGGTTTGGGTTGGAGTAAAAATAGAGAGTGTTGAAGAAATTCGTCAGGTCTGGCAGCATCTGCAGAGAGAGAAACAGGTTGAATGGCAAAGCAGACTGGATGGGCTGAACAGGCTAATTTCTGCTCCTATGTCTTATGGTCCTACAGAGAGAACATTTTGAATGCTATGACTTCTTCAGAATAGATGGGATTGGATTGCACGCCCACTTTAAGTGCCATCCGACTTCAAACCATCTGGTTCACTCATGTCCTTTAGAAAACAATATCTGCTGTCCTTTCTTGGCCTGCCCTACATGTGACGCCAGACCCACATAATTATGATTGACTCTTAACAGCCCTCTGAAGTGATCTAGCAAGCCACTCAATTGCATCAAACAGCTCAAATGTCAAAGGAATGAAACCACACAGAGCAATTGGCACAACCTAGGCATCAAAAACGATGACAAACACAGCCTTATTGACCCTGCAAAGTTCTGCTCATTAATATGGTGGCATGGTGGCTCAGTGGTTAGCACTGCTGCCTCACAGCGCCAGGGACCTGGGTTTGATTCCACCCTCAGGCAACTGTCTGTGGAGTTTGCACATTCTCCCTGTGTCTGCGTGGGTTTCTTCCGGGTGCCCTGGTTTACTCCCACAGTCCAAAGTTGTGCAGGTTAGGTGGATTGGCCATGGTAAATTGCTCATAGTGTTCAGGGATGTGTAGATTAGGTGGGTTATAGGTGGATGGATCTGGGTGGGATGCTCTGTGGGTTGGTGTGGACTTGTTGGGCTGAAGGGCCTGTTTCCACATTGTAGGGATTCTAAGAAATATTTGGGGATAGTACGAATATTGGGAGAGCTGCCTCACAGACAGGTTAAGCAACGGCTTGATGTGATTACACTCATGGAATCATAGCTTACAGGATGCCACCATCACTTTGCTGGGTCTGTCTTGGAGGAGGCATGCCAAGAGGAACACTCAGAATATCTTAAAGATCAGGTGTCAACCTGGTAACGCTGCAACTCAGGTCTGCAAGCACGTTAGAAAATGACATAAGTGGCATATAATAAACAGAGGTAAGCAATCCTACAACTGATGGACAGATCAGATCTAATCTGTGCAGCCCTGCCACATCCAGTTGTGGACAGTGGTAGACAATTAAAGAACCCACTGGAGAAAGTCTCCACAAAACACCTTCATTTACAATGATAGCAGAACCCTGCATATCAGTGCAAATGCTAGGGCTTAAGTATTTGCAACAGCCTTCAGCCAGTGGATGATCCATCTTGTCCTCTCCAAATGTCCCCAGCATCAAAGATGTCAGTCTTCAGCTAATTTAAGTCACTCCTCATGATATTAAGCAATGGTTAGAGGCACTGAATACAACAAAGGCTATGGGCTCTGACAATATTCCGGCAATTGTACTGAAGACGTGCTCCGAAACATACTGAACTCCTAGCCAAGCTGTTCAAGTACAGCTACAACACCAGCAAATACCTGACAATGTGGAAATTTGCCAGGTGTGTCCTTTACACAAAAGGAGGACAAAGACAACCCTGGAAAATACTACTCTAAAGCAACAGGAAAGTGATGTCAAGGGCCATCAACAATGTGATCGAGCAGCATTTGCTTAGCAATACCCTGCTGACAGACGCTCAATTTTGGTTCCACCAGGGCTAATCAGCTCCTGACCACATTATAGCCTTGATTCAAACTTGGGGAAAAAAGACCTGAATTCCAGAGGCTCCTTAGTATCTTCAAAACCCACCCCCACTTCCATCTAGAAGGAAAAGGGCAGCAGATGCTTGAGAATTTACAGGAGGTGGTATACCGCTCCAAGCCACTCACCATCCTGCGTTGGAAATATGTTGTGTCTCCTTCAATAATTGGTTCAAAATCTTGGAACTCAGTCCCTAACAACACTGTCTACGTACACCAAATAGACCAGAGCGTTTCAGGAAGGTAGTTCACCACCACCTTCTCATGGGCAACTAGGGACAGACAATAAATGCTAGCCCAGCCAGTGACATCACATCCTGTGAATGAATAAAACAAAACCTGTGAAAAATATTGTCTAACCTGAGCCCATCAGTTTTATTAAAATGACCCCAAAATGTGTCACAGAATAGTAGAACCAAGTGTTTATGCATATCTTCCACCTCATTTTTTGGGTTTGTCTGATATGATGCAGGTTGAAAGGATCATTTTTAGAAACAATATGTTGAATTCAAACCACAACATGCAATAGGACATTATTGATTATGATATGACTTGTGGCTCAGTAATGCTGAATCTGTATAAATCTCTAGGTAGGCTACAACTAGAATATTGCATCCAGTTCTGGTCACCACACTTTCAGAAGGCTGAGAATCCTTGAGAATGCAAAGGAGATTTAGCAGGATAATTCTAGGGATGAAGGATTTTAGCTCCAAGGTTAGGCTGGAGAAACTGGGGTTGTTGTCCTTGGAACAAAGAAGATTGAGGGAAAATTTAATAGAAGTCTGCAAGGTAATGATGGCTTAAGACAAGACATGATTGATGGTGCAACAGAGTTCATATTTTTGATATTGAAAGAATGTGAAAACAATTTTTGTGCAGTAAGCTCACTGCCTATGAGATGATGAAACAGAGACGGTGAGTTATTTTAAAAAGAAATTGGATGGCTACTGAGGGAAATAAACTGACTTGCTCTGCGAATAGAACAGGGCTAGGGATGGTTGATAAAGTGCTGGCATGGACTTGATGGGCCAAATGATGTCCTTTAATGTCTTAATCACTCAATGACTGCAAGGCATCAGCATGATTTTGATTCTTAGACATGGATATTATTTTAATTGATTTATCCTCATTAAGGAGAGAAAGTGGAAGACTGAACAGGAGACACTAGAGTAAAATTGATGATCTGTGATAAATTGTTTGGAATAGCATCATCTTCCACTGAAATGTTCTAAAGCCTATATTTTCTCCAGTGTAAATAAAATAATAAGCTGCTATCGTAAAGTTTACAAAGGTGAAATAGTAAGGTATATGTGTGAGGTTATGAGTAATCTTAAATGTTTGCCACCCAAGATCTAATGCATCTACTTTTATGGTATATTAGAGATCCTGAAATCACTGAATAAGATGGGAGCATAATTATCTCAATAAATCAACCCAGTTATTGAAATGTTGTAATCTGCAGTTCTGGCATTATTTTCACCAATGATAAATTCACCTGAATGGTGAAAAAAAACTCCCATGTTAACAATCAGGAAGCCCAGAACCTGATTTTGTTTTTACTACAATTTCTAAATGAAACTATTTACGATTCTCTCAAGGCTTTTGCCGAAATGAAGTTATGATTATAAAGTCTGAGTGATACAAAACCCGGAAAATCAATCGAATTTCTCCACGAAGCCTCTGGCAAGAGGCCACAATTGAATTATGTCGCCATCCCAAACTGTGTATTACTATTCTTTCCAGGACTGACTAGGACCCTGACCAAAGCAGAGCATGAGAGAAAGGCTTCTCTTCATATTGAAAAATGGCTAAGAGACAAGTTCAGGGAAGGTTATAACCTTATGAAAGAAGAATTTGAAAAGTATGACCCAGAGGGAACAGGCAAGGTAAGAAATCTTTGGGTGCAGGAGTTTGCGATATTTCTTCAAGGTTGGCTGGCAGGTATGATAACGTGTGTGTGATGCCTCCCCCCAGCCACCATCCCCCCTCCCACACCACCAGACCATCCCTTTACAGGCAGCTAAATGGCTTCCTCCTGGTACAGAGGCCAGTAGCGACTCTGAATAACAGTACCACACCAGCGGGTGAGACTGCTCACAACACAGCAAACTGCAGACTAGGAGCAGTAGGCAAGATATGTGTCTTCTCAGGGTGGGGCGGAGGGGGGAGAGCTTCCGTTGTTGGTACAAGTAAGAGCAGTTACCCCAAGAAACTGGTGACCTGTGAGTAGTTACTACAAAATTTTAGAATCAAAATAGACCATCACTGCCAAGGTCTTCAACGTGAAGGGGAAACCCTTCCATGGACAGCTGCATTTGAAGATGTGGCTCTACTCAGAAGTGGGGATAGGTTCTTAGTTGGATAGAACACTTGCCCCACCACGCACCTTGAAATCTTCTCCTGTCACCTCCCTGCACCCTGTGCCCCCCTAGACTGGAAAATTCCAGAGGAGCAGAGTGGTCTCAGCAAACTCTTTAGTTAAATTTTTAGTTACCCCACTTGATCATGCTTCCATGAAAATCACTTGGATGTTGTGCCCAAGATGGGTGAGCAGCTCCCTGGATGGTGACGGGAAGTTGGGTGTCCTATCACTTCTGTCCCTGTTTCTGCAGCCACCAGAATATTTAGCCCATGGGCAGAATGATGTTACTGGGCTAGCAATATTCGGTCTTTGTGATTGTGTGACTGTGCGATAGAAATCGGCGTCAGATGGTACATCGAGGTTGTGAATTATCTGTTTGAGCATCAGGCAATTGCCAGGAAGAATAGACTCAAGGACAAGGGAAGCGAGTTTGTGGAGGGAGTGAAAATGTTGGTTTCTGTCATCCCAATATGTTGCTGCACAAATGCACAAAGCAGATCTTGTCCTTCACTCTTTCCAAACAATAGAATCATATCTGCTGGGTGAAGTATTATGCAGTTTTGTATAAGCAAATTTGCACAGAATTTCTTCTGTATAGCAAACCTATTGTGTAATTTTCTTGCTGTTGGTGTGAATATGTCTGGCTGAAGCTATTTGCCTTAGGCTGGCAATTGTGTTATAAATGAACTCTCTGCCAGCATCAATGTTATTACAGGACTACAAACAATATAAGTATCCATAGCCAGAACTTTTCAAAGCAGGGTAGCATCACATTAAAAGTGAGTACTATCACCAAACTATTAAGTACCATCCAATCAGTTTATGCATGAAAAACTCTTTGTACCAGATGTTAACATCTATTTTAAGCCAGATCTTTTTCTGCATAAATTTACAGTATGCTTTTCTCTATCTGCATCACCAGGTATTACACAGAGACTTTCTGGCAGTTCTGGCAATCTTTGGCCTACACCTGAAAGATGAACATTTTAACCTTTTCTTGGCAAGATGCAATCTCGAAAACAGCAAATCTGGGATCAAGTACATTGACTTCCTCAGAAACTTTCAAGATCGAAGTGAAAAGGGAATTCCACATAAAATCTTGAACAACCCGAAGCACAAGTTAGTGGCTTCTCTCTCCTGACAATGTGCTTTACTGTATTGCACTTCCATTCTGATGCCCCTCCACCTTTCTAAAGCTAGAGAAGCAAAGAAAGTCAATTTTGAAAGAAACTCACTCATCCTCCAAAACACTGTCAACTCAAGAACAGACTTGTGAGAACATGTTGCAACACAATCCTTGTGATGTAAGCTGTCGCTATACAAAACATAGCTTCACCTGTTTTAAGAAAGAGATAGTGGACATATACTGAATGCAGTCTTGTTATGTAGGTAAACATGGAGAGAAGGGTCTGGTCTGTGTTGAATTTAGTCAGAAAATACTAACTTGCTGACTACTAATGGATGCCATTCCTCCAATTAGTTACATTTGTATTTAGGTAACATATTTTCCCTTACTAAGGACTTCTTAAAACACTTAACAACCAGCATTAAGGAATGGATTTCATTTGAATTCATCACTGATGTTGTTCAGGAACTGACAGTTGCTGTTTTACACAAAGCAAGATGCCTCAAACAGAAGATGAATGACCAGATAATCATCTTTTTTATGGTTGTTCAGGGCATGTGGGGAGTTCTTCTTTGAGGAGTATAATTGGATCAGTTACACAAGGACTCAGTCACAATTAAGAAATGTCATCTCTGACAATGCACCTCCTGGAGGCACCTCTGCACTAACAATGATGCATTCTTGCCTGAGAGTTCAGACATCCATCAGAGTGTTGAAATAGCTGTGCCTCAGAGATTGACAACTTTGGATCTCTGATCTATTTTGTCAATAGTACAATATTTATTTATACAACATAAAGGGATTTCAAGTACTTGCAGTTTCTGCTATTGACACTTCAAAAGACCTGACTGATTGACATTGTTATTGGAAGTAGTATTTTTAAAAAATTTTTTTGAAAAAAAGTTGAAAGTCATGAAAGAACGATTTTTAGCAGTTTTTGACACAGTTTATTGTCACAATCGTGTTTATTACTTAGGTGCAGAATGCATAATGGGTGAATTAGTGTGGAAGTGCCATAGCTTGGTATGGAAAGTATGAAAGCCCATGGAAGTGGGTGGAGCAGCATAAATTGGTACAGAGACATTGAGAGGCTTTGTGGTTTGGGTGGGGATTGGGTGAGGGGTGAGGCCATACTGTTTATTATAACTGAGATAAATTTTCAGAGCACCAAGGTGGATCTTTAAGCAGTTTCCCCTGAGGGCTAGCATCGTCTGTGGCAGCCTCCAAATTCTTTATGTGGTCAGTGAATTCAATTCCTGTTAACATCTAGCCTCCTGGAATGAAACGTCCTTTTTCTGGGGCAGTTGGACCGAGTGAGAACATTTCCTAATTCATGCTGCAATCTTCGAAGATAGAAATCCAGCTCACTATCTTTAACCTAGCACACCTTTCCCTGTCCATTCATTCGTAGTTTGCGTTGCCGCTTGAGAGGGAGAATGCTTAAATAGTGCCCATGGGACCTGTTCAGACCAGCTTAGCTGTTAAATTGAGTTTTAATTTAATATTTCTGACACCTTTTAACATAACGCCTTTTAGTAATATACTCATGTCCATTTAGATAATGTCCATTTAGATTCAGACTCAAGTGGGATTTGAACCCACAACAAGAAAATAACCATCTCAATGGAGGCAAATGCCTCCTTTTTGGTTCCCACTGTAACATAACAGATCCTCAGAGAACATTGTTTGGCATCCAAATGGATTTCATATTGATTCTAACAGGTAAAAGTAAAATTGTCACAGTAAGGGCTTCTCTATCATTAGCAAGAGATGGCTGGTGGTGAGTTTAACCGGCTGGTCATATCACTTCAGGCAAGGAATGAAGTTGAGAAGGCAAACCCTTTGTGGTGATCTCAGCCATACCAGGTATTGAACCTGCTGCTGTTAGCATCACTTACCAGCCACCTAGCTAACTGAGCTGACCAATCCAATAGCACATGAGCAACTTTCTCTCAGTTATCACACTCTTGTCTTTGAATCAGAAGTTTCAAGTCTCACTTCAGAAGCTTTAGAACATGTTGTAGAATGACACAAGTAATGAGGGCAGCTGCACCCTCTGTGGTGCCACCTTTCAGATGAGATCTAAAACTGAGGTTCCATTTTCAACCTCAGGTGTATGTAAGATACCATGGCACCTATTTGAGGAAAAGTAAAGACTCCTTCCCAGAGTTCTGGTCAATATTTATTCCCATATCAACTTCACTTAAGAAATAGATTACCTGGCCATTGCTTCATTTTTTAAATAAAAAAAACCTTTCATATGATGTGGATTGTTAATTGCATTTGAGAAGGGGCTTGCTCAGCCATTTTAGTTACAAGTGAACCACAAAGGGTCTGAAGTTACATTTAGACCAGGCTGGTAAAGACAGCAGATCACCTTCCCTAAAGGGCTTTGCTGAATTAGATTGGGTTTATGACAATTGGTAGTAGTTTCATGATCATCATTACTGAGGCTAGCACTTAATTTCAGATTTATTCATTTAAATTATTATGATAATTTGCCTCTATGTTTACCTGTGGTGTGATTTGAACCCATTCTCCCAGACTATTAACCAGGGCCTCTATTACCCGCGTGAGATTACCACTGCACTACCATCTGCCCCAGTTGTGCCTAATTTGGCTGCCTCGTTTTGTACATTGCAACAGTGCTAACATTTAAACCACATATCATCCACTGTAAAGCGCTTTGGAATGTCTAAGGTTCTTTAAATGCATTTTCTTTCTTTCAAGCAGGAAGCACTTTCAAGCACTTAACAATCATTCAACACATCTTTCAAAAGTATTGACTTTTATATCATTACTTCAGTCACAATTTAGTAACAGAATGACAAACCAACTCTAGGATATTATCAATAGTCAGAATGCATATGGAGTGGATTAACTCATGAAGGAAATTGGTATCACTGACTAAGAACTGCACTGAACCTAGGAGCAAGAGATATCTCACAATATTTTCCTTATTCATTTATGGGATATAGGCACCACTGACTAGACCAGCATTTATTGTCCATCCCTAATTGTCCAGTTAAGGGACAACCATATTGTTGTGGGTCTGGAGTCACCGGATGTGTTTGTACAACAATTGACAGCGGCTATGCAATCACCATCAGACTCTTTCTCTTTATTTCAATTTTCCATTGAATTCAGCTTTCACTATCTGCCAGTGTGGAATTCAAACTCATGTCCCCAGAATATTAGTTGGGATTCTGGATTACTAGTCCAATGATATTACCACTACACCATCACCTCAGCTGAAATAGGACTATAATATCCCGACACTAATTCTGCAGGAATGATTTTAGATACTGGCCCCAGTGAATAATTGAAACATTGATCTTCCTTCCTTGTATGCCAAAAATTCATATTCAACTTAGAAAATATCTGTGAAGTCAGATGTGTGTGGATCAGAATTGCAGTTAAGATTGGCTTTCATCCATACTAGAAATTCCATTGGAATATGGTGACAGATGAATTTCTATTATTCAAGGGTAAATCTACGCACCTGTTCAACATTTTAATGGAATGAAGGAATAGTTTTCCTACTTTACTGAGATGGTTTGATTTTTTAAATATGTACTTTGTTTCTAGATTCAACTGTGAAGGGAGTGTCAGTCTGTGCTCCACAGTAACTGCAATTGAAGCAAAACTGACAAGACTTTTTCAGTCAGACTTTCTGGCTCTTTTAGCCACCTTTCAGTAAGTACATAATTTCTAAAGGTTTGGCAAAGACCTGCAGCTTGGGCTGTGGGTGGGGTTGTTGACTTGCTTGCCAAGCTGGCTTGTTCTCGTTCAGATGTTTCATCACTATGCTAGGTGACATCATCAGTGAGGCCTCCAATGAAGCAATGTTGCTTTACTCTGCTTGGAATTTATACTTTTTGGTCCGTTATGGTGAGTAGTGTCATTTTGGGTTTTGATCTGTACGGGTTTTTTATATGGGGTCCAATTCTATATGTTTGCTGATTGCATTACAGGTGGAGAACCATGCCTCTAGGAATTCCCGTGCGTGTCTATGTTTGGCTTGGGCTACTATGGTTACCTTGTCCCAGTTAAACTGATAGCCTTCATTGCCTGAGTGTACTGATATTAAGGAAAGTTTGTCGTGCCGTTTCGCTGCTAGCTGATGTTCATGTATTCTGATGGCTAGTTTCCTTCCTGTCTGTCCGATGTAATGTTTGTGGCAGTCATTGCATGGTATTTTGTAAACTATGTTGGTTCTGCATGTTGTACAAATGGAGTCTTTAATCCTTGTGAGGATTTGTCATAGCGTGGCTGTGGGGTTGTGTGCTACCATAATTCCGAGTGGTGTTAGGAGTCACATTGTCAGTTCTAATATGTTCTTAATGTAGGGTAGATGCCTACTAAACAGACAACAACAGGAGGACACAGTATACCCTAACACACTGGCCACACTGCCCTCCATCAATGTCAATACCGCCAATGCCAATATATTTTCCATAAGTAGGGGGGCTTAAATTGTTCTCGGTAGACTACACTTAGAATAAATATGGACTTAAATAGTTTGAGCAAGACTTCCCTATTTTGATACTCTATTCCCTTTGAGATTAAGGCCAACAATCTGCTTGCCTTCCCTATTACCTGCTGAACTTGTATGCAGGCTTTTAGTGACGCATGAGGACCCTCAAATCTATCTAGTGCTGCAGCTTTCTGCAGTTGTTCTCCATTTAAATAACACTCAGCTCCTCTATTCTTCCTGCCAAAGTGTAATATCTCACATTTCTCTTTTGCCAACTCACTTAACCTATCTATATCTGTCTGTAAATTCCATGATCATCATTACTTCTCTTCGCATCATCTGTAAACTTGACACAAGTGCAGCCACTTACATCATCCTGAAAGTGCCTTCCCTTATCCGAGGTTAGAGAATTGGCTAAGAAAATGGAGAGTTGCGACAAGATGAACATTTTCAGGATGGTAACCTGTAACTAGTGGTGTGCCACAGGGATCAATGCTGGGGCCACAGTTATTCACCAAACACATTATTAACACAGATGAGGAAAGTGAATTACTATAAACAAGTTGGCAAATGACAAAAATAAGTGGGAAGGTAAATGGTGAGGATGACAAAAAGTCTGCAGAGGGATAGATACAGGGTAAGTGAGTAGGCAAAAACTTTGTCAAATGGAATATAATGTGGAAAAATGTGAGGTCATGCACTTTGGCAGGACAAGTAGAGGAGCTGAGTTTTATTTAAATTGAGAATGACAGTAGAAAGCTACAGAAGAGGGACGTGAAAGTTGATGTCCATGAATCACAAAAAAAAACTAGCATCCAAGTTGAATGGGTAATAGGGAAGACAAATGCAATGTTGGCCTTCATTTCAAAGGGAATGGAGTCTAAAAGTAAGGAAGCTTTGCCATACACTTGCATATTGCTGAACAGAATCTTCCATCAACCAGTGCTATAAGGCAACTTTGTTTTAGAAAAATTGTTTTGATTTGATTAATTACTGTCATGTGTGCCGAGGTACAGTGAAAAGTATTGTCTTATGTGCTTTACAGGCAGATTGTACTGTACAAGTGTGTCAGGGTAACAGAACAAAGTGCAGGATACAGTGTCACAGCTACCGAGAAGGTGCAGGGAGAGATCAACATTAATATTAAAGAGGTCACTTTGAAAGTCTGATAACAGCAGGGAAGAAGCTGCTCTGGAATCTGTTTGTATGTGTATACAAACTTTTATATCTTCTGCCCGACGGAAGAGGGTGGAAGAGAGTATAACCAGGGTGAAAGGGGCCTTTGATTATGTTGGCTGCTTTCCCAATGCAGCAGGAAGTATAGATAAAATCAATGGTTGGGAGGCTAATTTGTGTAATGGACTGGGCTGTGTTCACATTTCTCTGCAGTTTCTTTCTGTCTTGGGAAGAGCTGTTGTATACCACATTGTAATGATCTAGATAGGATGCTTTATATGGTGCATCTATAAAAATTTGTAAGAGTCTTTAGGGATATGCCCATTTCCTTAGCCTCCTGAGGAAGTAGAATAATTGCTGTACTTTTCTGACTGTAGTGCCGACATAGGTGGACCAGGACAGATTTTTGGTGATCATCACTCCCAGAAACTAGATGCTCTGAACCGTCTCCTCCTCAGCACCATTGATGTAGATTTATTTTGGTACATTCAAGAGTTGTGACATGGTATTATTTCAGAAGATAATTTAAAAATACACTTTAACAATCTCACTGAATTTGCTCTTTCTAAATTACAGCAAAATTGACAAACTGGGAAGGAATGTCATCAGTCAACAGGAATTCCGAGCTGCCATTGAGAGCAGGTACATTTTGATGATTATGGTTGACAAAAACTGAAGCGTATTCAATATTTTTGAAAAGCAATGGAAAGAATTATACAACTTAAGTGTGTGAGAGTAATATTCATCATTTTTGCCACTGTGATACTTACATGGATCTACTGAAATGTGAGTAGGGAGAAGTTCACTCACGTATCTGTCAATAAACTCCCATCGTTGCAGTCTTCTGCAGCTGCCTGAAGAGAAAACAATTAATGGGGGTGGAGGCATGGGCTGTGACAATTGAAAAAGTAAAGGAAATCTTGCATTTATACCATATACAACACTGGGGTGTCTCAAAACAATTTACAGCCATTGAAGTCCTTTGAACTGTTACATCTGTTAAAATCTAGGAAACTTACCACCCAATCTGCACACAGAAAGCTCCCACAAACAACAATGAGTCTTAATCATAGAATCCCTACAGTGAGGAAGCCGGCCATTCAGCCCATCGAGTCCACAGTGACCCTCCAAAGAGCATCCCATCCAGACTCAAGCCCCACCTAACCTTGTAATCCTGCATTTCCCATTGCTAATCCACCTAGCCTGCACATCCTTGGACACTATGGGCAATTTAGCATAGCCAATCCACTTAACCAACACATCTTTGGACTTTAGGAGGAAACCAGGGCACGCAGAGGAAACCTGTGCAGACATGGGGAGAAAGTGCAAATGTCAAACAGACAGTTAGGTGGATTCGCCATGCTAAATTGCCCATAGTGTCCAGGGATGTGCAGGCGAGGTGGATTAGCCATGGGGGTGCAATTGAACCTGATGCTGTGAGGCAGCAGTGCTAACCACTGAGCCACAGTGCCACCATAATGGCATGTGTTAAGTGATAAATGCCACTCTTCTTCAAAGAGTGCTGTGGGATCTTTTCTCTCTGCTTGAGAGAACAGACGGGGCCTTGTTTCATTGTCTCATCTATGGGTGCAGCACTCCTTCAGTGCTGCACTAGAATGTCATTGAGATTACGTGTTCAAATCTTTGGATGAATTCATTGTCATGGGAGTCATTTAGGAGTACCTTTAGTACTAATCTTTAGCTGCTTTCCTTCAGAATGCAAACTGAGGTGTTTCAATCCTCCGACTCCACCAGAATATTTCAAGATATTATTAAATGTGTGCATTTCATATTACACAGTACTGTTCATCAGAGGGGTGTAAATAACAGAGCCAGAAAAATGCTTTGAGAATTTTGTTCCGTATGATTTTGAGAAATTAATTTCGATGAATTAACAGATTCATTAGTATTTCATATATGTCTATTAAAAAAATTCGATACAGGATACACAACAGACACTTTGGTACAAAGAACATGGAGAGATGGCTAAAATAAAGGGTTTAATCCATTCTAAAAGGAGCAGCGCAATCTAGGTGTATTTGTATATAAGGTACTAAAGCTGGCAGGGGGAGGTAGAGAGTGCCGTTAGCTTCATTAATGGAAGCATTGAATACAAGACCAGAGAAGTTATGATGAAATTATATACGAAACTGGTTAGACCTCAACTCAAGTATGTACTGTGTACAGTGTTGCGCACCACACTATGGATATGAAAACATAGAGCGCAGAAGCTGTTTCCAAGAATGGTTCCAAGGATGAGAGACCTCTGTGATGAGGAAAGATTGGAGACGTTGGAGCTGTTTCCCTTGGAACTCAGGAGTTTAGGAACAGACTTCATAGAAGCTTTCAAAATCATGAGGGGTCTAGACAGAGTAAATAGGCAGAAACTGTTCACATTTGCACACAAAGTAAGAAAACTAACAATAGCATCCAATTGAAGAGAGAAGAAAACATACAATGTGACAAAGATTGTCAATAAACCAGATGATTGAGAAAGTTTTAAAAGCCAACAAAGGAGAACCAAAATAAACTAGGAGGGTAATCTAACCAGTAACATAGAAATTTCTCGAAATATATAAAAAGAAGAGAGAGTTCAAAGTGAACGTAGGCCCTTGGAGAATGAGGCTGGGGAAATAATGAGGAACCAGAGAATGGCAGAGGAACTGAACAAATACATTACATCAATCTTCATGGTAGAGGACATTATTTAATATTATTGGAATGCTATTAATCAACGAGCTAACGGGGGGCAATAACTATCATTAGAGAAAAAGTACAAACTATGGACTGAGAGATAGTAGGAACTGCAGATGCTGGAGAATCCGAGACAACAAGGTGCAGGGCTGGATGAACACAGCAGGCCAAGCAGCATCATAGGAGCAGAAAGGCTGACGTTTCGGGCCTAGACCCTTCATCAGAAAAGGGGGAGGGGAAGGGGGTTTTGAAATAAATAGGGAGAGAGTGGGAGGCGGATAGAAGAGGGAT